TTTCATTGAAAAAAAGAATTTTTATTCGATAGATGTCTCAATTTCGAGTTGTTCCAACCCATCGACTATAGATTTCGAGTCGTCGAGTCCTAGCAAACACATGCGATGAACTAGATTTGAACATAGGTATTTACGATTCACTTGCATCGAACCATTGATCTAAATATGAACTATTATTCGTATGTCAAAACGACCTTTTTAGTTCATAAGAAGATAGTACTTATGCTTTTTGATTTTTGATTTTATTTTTTGAAAACTGAAATTAATATTTTTTGTTCAGAGAGAAAAATTTATTTTAAACATTAGAAATAATATTTTTCACCCAGAAAAAGGATTCTTTTTGGAACACTAAAAATTATGTTTTTTATCGAGAAAAATTTTTTTATTGTGAAAAAGATTTCATCAAGAAGGAAAACTTTTTATATCTATGTAAGTGACAGAAGAACTTTTTTTTATTTAAGATACCGTATAAATCACTTATTGAATAAATATGGCGTGCAATACGTGATAAATTGACCAATTTGCACGTGGATATTCATTATAACTGTGTCTTAGTCAAAAAAGCAGGCGAATTTCAGTTTTAGTTTCAATTGGTGGACGATCAATTTTGATCAGAAAATTCCGAAATTAAGGTAAATTATGAAGCAAACTCGAATAATATTACTAAAGTTATTAAATAAAAATAAAGAATATTCTAAAATCGGATTTTGAAGTTTCACCTGATCAAGATTATAGATTCTGTCGAAACTGTTATGATGATCGTTTTTACTCTTTTGAAGCACTCAAAATGATTCTTTCAATATGTTAGAGGAGTCGATAGTATTATTTCGATAGGTGATTTCTCTCGGAGTACTCGAAACTTCGATGAGTACCGAGGTGTCGACATATATACGACGAGTCGAAGATAAGTCGTCGATAGGACGCAGTGTCCGAGTCCTCGAAATTCGATGGGTGCCGAGGGAATCGAAATTGAAACAGAACGAACAAAATATATATATATCAAATTTTTGACCGCTCGTCGCACCCATCGTATGCTTTTTTTTTGTTTGCTTGGGATAAGTCTGTAATTTCTGGGGAAACCAAACCGACTCTGATATATAACGAACACGATAACAAACTATTTAAATATGAAGACTTTCAATTGTGTGTGATGTAGACAAAAATGTGCTAACTGCTTATATTTTTGAGTCATATCGCTGACAAACCAAACATTTGTGCTTTTTCGCTGATTTTACTTTCACATTTCTCTTTCGTTACGCAACATGTTCCTCAAATTTTTGTATTCTACCGATTTAAAAGAAAACGATTTGAGTAGACGTTTAAATAAATATTTAAGCTCATATAACAGTCGACGAAAATCAAACCAAAACATTGAAATCTCGTTTAGATAAATATCCCACCAAAAATTGTTCGTGATCACATAAGGTATTCGTGAAAGGTCCAATATTATTCATAGTTTCAATTCAAAAGAACCGACAAAATTTGAAGAAGAATGTTTGAGGTCATCCTGAGTATCTCAAATGCCTGCCGAAAAATTAGACATGAATTACCATTATTCGGTTACTCACTCTTCTCGTCTATAACTGCAGAATGCAAAAACATGTCACAGCTGCAACTCGCAGAGCACGAGTTCGAAGTTAACAACAAAGACTATTGTTAGAGTGTGATATTATGACTGGTTTAGCAATAGGAACCAAGTCCGAATAACAACAAAATAAAAAAAGGTAACTCTATGTAGGATTCAAATCGTGTATCTTCTGCTATCTGGATGGATGTTCTAAGCCAATTAGACGAAGAGAAACATTGAATCTCTGTCTTATGTACACACGTGAAAACGCTGAATGTAATAGTCGTCGCTGCTCCTGAATTTCAATCGTCATCAACCTCGTTTTTTTTAATTTTCTTCTTCTAAGAATGCTGAACCATATCGGGAAGAGACGTATTCTGCGAAGTTAATCCTTATCGATCGACTCTTGCTTTTGAAAGACTAAATAATGGACCTTCTGAGTGTGGAAGCCGGTGTTGGTATGGATGTATAGATGTAGGTGTGCGTGTGGGTTCAAACATGACAAAGACATCCACACCCTGTTTTGTACGTAATAGAAACTACCTGCTCGAAAAAATAGTAAAGACTTTGACATTATTCTAGAAAGAACAAAAGTCTAGTATTAAGGTTATTTCATATTGATATATGCACTCGTACATGTAATTGTTGATAGAGAAAAGAAAATTAAATAAGCAAACTGATAAGAATACACAAACATTGGATCCTTTTCGAATCTTTTTCGAAATCGTATTGTTTTGCCATAAAGTACTTTCAATTAATAATGTAGGTAATAGTTCACACGTCTTTAAATTTCCTTAGTTTGTCATCAGTTCAAATTTAATCATTTATGTTATCGCTGGTACTATTACATTTGTTTGCCTAATTATCCTTTTCATTATTGATATTTTCAATGGTTCTGTAAATTGAAATAGAGCAATCATTACAAATGCCATTGATGTATCAACAAATATGTATGCAATTCGAAAATGATATTTTGGTGGTGTCGTAAAAAATGATATAAAAACAAACAATGCATAAGGAAAACCAATCGTAACAATACCCATGACAAGAATCACTATTCGACGAACCATTTTTAATTCAAGTTGTGCTCGATATAATATATTAGCTGGTGTAACATGTTTTCTCATATCTTGAATATATCGAACTAATTTGAAATAGATTAAGATAATTAACAAGACAGGAATCATATAGACACATAGTGCATTATAAATTGTTAAGAATGAAAGTTGAAGTGGTATTTGACATATTTGATTATCGATATTATATTTAATTTCATGACTAAATACATATGGTAAAGGACATATAAAGCCAAAAATCCATGTCGCAAGAATAAGGTAAACTTGAAATCGAATTGATTGCCAAAATAAACGAGTTGGATAAATAACAATGATATATCGATAGATAGCTTGTAATAAAAAAGAATAATTTTGTAAAATAGTTACTATATAACCCAAATAGCCTCGAAAGATACAAAGTGAATCTGGATAGTAAATTTGATGAAAATCATTTTGAAATGTAAACAAAGCCATACCAAGCACATCACTTCCAAACATAAATTCAGCTAAACACGAATTTGCAACAAGCATCATTGGTACTGTGTGACATGTTTTATCAAGAATAATAGTCAATAGAAAAATTAATGCTAGTACAATGGCCAAGACAGTACACATAATCATAAGAATATCAAAAGGAATAAACCATGATTCAATATTGATTATAGTTGAATAATTCTCAAATGTCATTGCTTCTTCGAGAAAATAACTAGATGAGAGAAAATATCATGAAGCTTGTAGATTTCAATAAATTAATTCTCTTGATCAGCTGCGCACTATCTTATAACATTCTGAAACGACTCTGAAAAATATAGAAATAATATTTTTTTTCTCTTACAATTCTCATATATAAAGTAACGCGGTTATTCGACCAATGGATGGGGAAATGTCATTATTAAAATAGAATTACTTGTTTCTTTTTCATTTTTCAACATAAAAAGAAATGAGTTCAAAAGACAATATTATATTGATGGTGTCACGATTTGACATCTAAATGAAAGGTATCAACGGCTTAAAAAAAATTTGATTATACTCGCATGATAAAACTGTTTCACATGCAAGTTTTTCAATAGCATATATCTTGGTAGGGAAGAAAAAGAAAATATTTTTTCTCGCATCATGATACAAGTAATTTGAAAAGAAATACTTTCAAAATTTTTATTAACTCTTAGAAGACTCTTTTTATAATAATAAGTGTTTGTGTCAATATTTTGCTAATGGAAAAGAAGTTTTTGCAAGATCCTCATTAATCATTTGAATATCTTACAAAGATATGACATTAGATTTTCTTTATACATCACTCGACCTTGAATGTATATTACTGTAATGAAGGTGCTAATATTTTTGATATTTGTTATGAGATAAATAAAAAGTAAAGGTGGTGACTAGATGTGGAGTGGAGTGTAAGTGACGGGAACAACCAAATTCATGTCTGCACCCACCATAAACAAAGAGTCCTTTTTTGGTAATGTACGCACATCAGAACTGATCAAGTTTTAAGAGAATCCCCGTGTTTTTTCAACAATCATTGATCTGATGAAAATTATATGAGAATAAAGCTCTAATTTCCCATACTCAGAATATATATCACTAATTCAATTTTAGTTGTGTTTTCTCACTTTTTTCCATAATTTTCTTCGTATCTACAAAGATGACGAAAAGAATTTTCGAAAAATGCCTCAAGTCTATTTTATAAATCACTTTTCCATCTATTGGAAGAAAAGATCAAATAAAGTGCGTTTCCTAGTATCTCGAACGTTATTTATTTCAACGTCAGTAGAAGAAAAAAACATTCTCTTGCAACACACTTTAAACAGTGACATAATGTTGGTAGAAAAAGACCTAGCGGAGACATGTGGAAGATATTTCACACTACGCATTAGCTTTGCTGATCCTTACTCTGCATAGAACTGTGTTAAATTTTTCTTTCTTAAAAGCATGACAAAGTTACAATATTGTTATTAACATATCCCGATTTACTATCATTTCACCACAGTTTCCATTTTGTGTTGACTTGTACAAATTACAAAAAGGGTGTGGGTGTGGGTATCTTGTGAAAGAAGGTTCACACCCATACCCACACCCTAGGTCACAGACTACTGATTTCTCCACTAGACTACGAAAGAAGAGAGGCCGCAGTTATGCCATTTGAAAGCGCAGATTCTAAAGATCATATATATATAAAAATACTTTTAATCAAGTGCGAAATAACTGTGCATCACACCAAATAAGACAAGTGAGTTTTTTCATGCCGTTATTAGGGATTTTCACTCTACAATCGATAATATAAAAGTTTAATTACGAGTAGACAGTTGTGTTTTGAGAAGAATGCGAGGTTAAACATTTAATAATATATTTGAAGAATGTTTTTAAGTTCATAACTATTGTTTCTTCACAGAAACCACCGTCACTCGATGACGGGTTTCTTTATTATCACTATTTGGTCGAATAATATTCATTGAATGTTTCATAAATGACTTATCAATATTATGAGCTGTTTTAACTCTGCTAACGGTGACTCCAGCGAAGCTTGATGCTCTTTTTCGCATATCATTGTCGACTTTAGTATTCGTACGACTCATATGACCGGCTTCTTTACTGCGGACATTCATTGTTTTGCCAGGAACATTTCGATTTATTTCTGTCGACGAATTTTGATTGGGAAAAAGAGTATTGCCACCAGTTTCGAATGATGCTGATACTTTATTTCTTGCCAATTGAACAACATGTATTTTAGTTAGTGATGTAGAAACAAATTCATTCTTTGGATAATAAAATGTTGATGATTTATTCGATTTATTATTCTCGGTGATTTTTGAAACTTTCGATGATTTTTTTACTGTAGAAACAGTAGTAGAAGAACGCTGGAATCTTAATTGATTTTCAACAGTGTATATATTTTCATTAGAATCTTGTTGTTGATATGATTTGATCGATTCATTTTCTTCTTTAGATGATTTTGCACTTTTCTTTATATGAACAATATTATCATTGTTTATCTTCTTATTGTCAATTATTAATGTTGACTTTGTTTTTGTTAAACTGCTGGATAGAAAAGTATTGGAACTTTTTTGAGTGTTCAATCTATTGGATGAAGAGTAATTCTTCGATCTTTCAGTTGATTGAATTTTCCTTATTTCTTCTTCAATGGGTAATGTAAAAATTTCTTGTTCTAAATCTTTTCTTATTTTATTCAGTCGACGACGCTGTGCCGTAGTACTCCTATACAGAAAAAATCGTTATTAGACAAGAAGAAAATATCGAGCAGCTGGTAATGTTCATTCTCAGAAAAATTTATGTACAAAAACAAAAAAAGATATTAATGATTACCGTTTTCGATAATATAGGAAAGAGCAGGTACCACCTAAAACCAACAATAAACCCAAAATCGGAAGACCCACAATTAATAGTAAATTTGGTTGATTGGAATCTTAAAAAATGATACGATATGTATATAAATATAAAATAGAAGAATATATGTAATTTCAATTTACTAGGAGTGATTGTCGTTGTTTCAGTTGTAGTTCTAAATACATATATATTATAGAAATTTTTCATAAAATTCGTCTTTTAGTCCTTTACCTATAATTTTCAAATTAAAAACTAATTAATTATATAAAGAGTATATTTTCTTTTTCTTTGTTGTTCCTGATGATGATAAGAGTTTCTTAGTGAAAGCTCAAATAAATCTTTGATTTTTGATAAAAATCTATTATGTTCTTCGTAGAAGTTTTATATTCAATAATTTCAAAATTGATTCTATGGGTACCAGTTTTTTAGAAGTTAGTGTTCTTGATTAATAAAACGTAGAAATTGATTTTTATTCTGTCAGATTACAAGTTTTTTACTAAAGAGGAGAGAGACATTTTCGTAAGTTGTAATGGAGAAAAAAAATCGTATTTTTCATGATCGGAGAGATTATATGTCTCAATCCGAACTTATCGCTTGAAAAAACTCTACAAACATTATGAGTCTCTTGACTCATCTCGATCGATAACTATAGCGCCACTTAAACTCGGCAGCAATAAGGTGGTGGTTCGAACTCTTTTCAGAATATTTATATCTCCTTAAGGCCTAAATGATGCACATACTCTTGACTCAAAAGTAATCTGACAATTGAAGAGGTCCTCATCAGCATTGGTAAGGGAATAGGACTTGAATTTCTATCTGCGATCAAGGCGTCCAGGATTGCAATTTTGTTACTTACGTTACTGAAGTAGTAGTTATTGTTGTCGCCGTTGTAGTAGTCACTGTGGTTGTTGTTGTGGTTGTTGTTGATGTTGTAGTTACTGATGTTGTGCTAGTTGTCGTGCTAGTAGTTGTCGTTGTTTCTGTTGTAGTAGTTGTTGTAGTTTCTGATGTTGTGCTAGATGTCGTTGTTTCTGTTGTAGTAGTCGTTGTAGTTTCTGATGTCGTGCTAGTTGTCTTGCTGGTAGTTGTTGTTTCTGTCGTACTAGTCGTTGTAGTTTCTGATGTGGTTATTGTGCTTGTTGTACTTGTAGAAGTAGTTGTCGTACAAGGTTGTGACGTCCCAACAGTGAATATCACACAATATGGATTAGATTGTACACTCTCACTATAGATTAGAAAAGGCAATGTTCTATAATATTTTAAAATAGGAGAATAGTGTTTACCTTGTATAAGCAAGTGCACAAAATTGTTGCGATCCAATCTGAGTTATTTGAGGTGTCCAAGTGAAGGTAACATAGACTAACGATGTATTTGTTGTTGAATTAACCAAACTACTGGCTGACAAACCAGTAATACTAACTGTTGATATTAGATCAGTAATAATCACTTTTGTTCTATTACAATAATTCATCGCATAAAGAGTAAAACTCATTGCTACATTGACTTGAATCTCTAAACAACTGGTTAAAGGAAGAATAACAGGTGCTTGTGTACAGGTGGGTGTTGCTAATACATAAATTAAGAATTGTATTGCTACTGAACTCATTGGATTAGTACTTGTTGTATTAATAAAATCTTCAACCTGTGAAAAATAGAATTTTGTATGTTTCAGTTAAATAACTATTTTTATCAATGAATTAATACTAAAAATAAAAAACTACTTTTATCACTAATTTTTAATTATAATAAGACAAATTCCAACAATTTTTAATGCAACATGCTTTACTTTTCAATTGAAACTAAAAGTCAACTGAGAATATCTCAAGAAAAATTATATTGTGAGAGAGATATTGATTTAAACTGAAAAATATCAAAATAACTATAATATTAATATATTGTTTACCTGAAGAGCAATTGCATACCAAACATTCGATGTTGTTGCTGTAAATGTTAACGTACAACCAGACAAATTTGCAAGACTAATCGTGCTCGCAGAAGTACAAACATCGTCACATTCATCAACACCATATGCACTATTTACGAAAAAAAAAAAATATATATCAAGTTCATCGATCCGAGAACAGATCCGATTGAATCTTATGCGATCCGACCAGCTGACATAATCCGACGGTCGGATCCTATAGGAACTTTAATCCTATCCGACTGCAAGAACCGATACATATTTTGTCCGTGGAATTCCTATAAAATTTCTGTAAAATCCGTAATGAGCTACGGTTCCTGTGAAAAAATCTGCTGTCTAAACTGTAACAGACTTTAAACGTGACTTTGCGTGGGCTTCTGCAGTCGAAGTTTGATATAATTCTTGCGACCTTCCGATCAGAGATCGTCACACGACAGTTATTTTCTTCACGTCGCGTTATGCTTTCATGAAAGCATTTGTAGATTTAGCCTATTTATTACGAGAATAGATAATCTGATGAAAACTACAGGGTCTTTTTCAATGTTGATGTTTACAGTTGATATACGTGATGTATCAAGGATGTGATAATGAAATTCAATATGTCATAAAAACAGTGCCTCCATTCGTCAAATTTTATCGGAGGATATCATGCACTATTATTCCGTCGGATATCATCGGAGACTACCATGCACTATTCGTCTGTCGGATTTCGTTCGAAAATAGGCTCTTTTCATCTTTATATCAAAAATAACCAGTATCCCTTTCATTATTTATTCCATACGAGCTCAAATCGAATTCTCCGAGGACATAGTTTCATTTCCGTCGGATCTTGTTGGAAAGTGTAGGATAGCATTCGTTTGATTCGGAATAACCATAGTGATCCTTTCTATAATTCATTCCATTTGTTTTTATATAGAATTGTTAGAAGACAAAGTTGTGTTTCTATCGGATCTTGTTGAAAAGTGTAGGATTCTGTCGTTTCACTATAGTGGTTCCGATTGGTATCCTAGAGTAGGATATCGTCGGGTGCCGAGCGTGGGATCTTATCGGTTTAATGCTATAAAACACTATCAGCCGCCGCTTCTGGATTCCGATATTAATCCGCAACATGGTATCCAACAGAAATTCGATAGGATACTATCAGATCCTGAGAATTCCGATCGGAACTGATATGAATCGGTAAGAATTCGATGAGATCTTATCTGATTCGATCGGTTCTGATTGTAGAATTGGTGGAGCTGGGTATTAAGACAGATTTCAAATCTATTTATATTCTTTTCTGTCTAATTTTCAATGGTTTTCGTCCTTTATCATACTATCTATAGCTAAAACTTATTCGGATGATTAGGACTGTTATCATTGCTGAAAACCTTTTTGTAAGTGTTTACATGGTTATTGATGTATATCTGTAAATTCAATATGTTTTGAGTATATAATGATGTTTATTACTTTCAAAAAGACAACTTAGTAGAGAAAAAAGTAGAATATATATAATATAATGAGATTTGTTTATGTCTATTAAAAGTACTTTAAGACCAAATAAGTTTAAGAATATAAAACCATGTTTTAAGGCAAACTCAATCGATCTTATGAGATTTTTAGCAGTCGTGATGATGACAAGAAACCGAGGCATTGTTCAAAAATTCAATTTTTGAACAGTGCCTCGTATATTGGAGCGATTGTTGGTATTCTTATAGAGGCTGTCTTAGAAGAGACGTGAATAATATTTCATTTCTATAACATCCATTCAACACTCGTCTTTTCTGTAAATCACGCGACTCTATCATATCGTTTATAGAATTTTTATATGTTTGATTAAGACAGAAGATGTGAAAGTTATTAATTTATCTTTGTATACAGTACCTGTTTTTTGAGGACCATCGACAACGTATATTATCACCTACATCAACATCTGTCACAGGTATTTTGATTGTAGCTGTTCTGTTGAAAATAACATATTGAGGAGAAGCTACCTGTGACACTGGTGGAGTGTTAATTAAACCATCGGGACGTCTTTGAAGATTAATTAAAGATACAATTGACCATCCAGGAAGAAAACTTGTCGCAGCATTCGCCAAAGTTCTCCAAGAGGCACCTTGATAAGCGATCCAAAAATATGTACCTTCATTGAGTGTAATATTAACAGATCGTTGACTTGTTAATACTCCCAATGATGTACTGTATGAAGTACAATCAGTTAAAATATTAATTGGATTACTAGAATAGCCACCTTGAGTAGAACAATTAGCAATACAAGTTAAACTAACACTGGGATATAAAAACCAATTAGTTGAGGTAGGTACATCTGTCAAACAACTTATAGTCGGATAAGTCCACGAATAAGATTGTGTAATAGTAATCCGAATTGATGAAGAAGTAGAATTACGATTTTCTGGTGTCCAATGTATAGTACCACCATTAAAGTGATCACTATCGATGGGATTTGTTCCGATTAATATTAATAGAAATAAAATGATCATTTCATCAAAATATTAAATCTGAAACATATAAAAACAAAATCATTGTCTTGTATCTATTTACGGTCTATTTAATAATTTATATTGAAGATTGCTATGATAAGTTTAAAATAATATAATTTCTTTTGTCATTTTTAAAGATTTTCATAAATCTCTCACCAAACATTATTTATATAAAAACCGTACTAAAAAGTTTTGGTTACAAATTAAGTTGGTAAACTGTAACAAATGTTTTATGAAACACAATCTAACAGAGATATTGAAACATACAAGTAAAAATTCGGACTCCATCCTATCCTCCCACAAAGACTATGATAGATATTACCATGAAAATAGAACAGATCAGAATAGATACTTTAACAACAGTCATTTCTCATTCCAGTACAGATCGTAACAAACATTTTTACAAATCTCGTTTGATACAGGCCTTGATAGACATTTTAGTAACACTTCTTTTCGTTTATCATAGACTGTGACAAATATTTGTGTAAAAATGATGTTTACAATGGAGTTAGAGTAAAAAATGAATCTCTTTCACAAAAGTTATCTGAAATGTATTTTTAAGATCTTTTGAGATTGTCTTAAGAATCCTATTCTACATTTTATCATAAACCAAATGGATTTGGCACACGGCAGCTAATAGCTAAAGCGATCCTGAGAACAACACTTAATGCGAAGAGCAAACTGAGGATTAGAGCCGATTCGTGAGAACTATGACCATTATTGAATACAGTTAAAACATACTATATGTTATTAATAGATCAATCCGTCATTTGAAAAAATTCAGTAAATCTCAGAAATAAATTCTTATAGAGTTACATGAATTTTGGCTCACGGATTCTTTGTTCCAGACTTTCTTAATCTAATTGATTATTTTTATTATTAATTAATAAACTTCATAGTGCTGAGTACTATGTACTTGCATAAAAACGTAGTGCTCGGCAGGATGACATGATGTTCAGCAATGTGTACTGAAAAACATATCCATATATTAAATGATCGATTCTTTCAAGTTATCGAAATAAGTCGCAAAGACAATAAAAAAATGTATTAATTTGTTGCTTCGATGATAACTCTTCTTTACAAATAAATTTCAAAACATTTCTAAGTATATTCATATAGGTCTATATTTCGTTATAGTCTGAAATAATTTTCTGCACTTCTTCGTACTTTTTTAACTTTTTGGTGTCTGCTGCTCATGTAGCAAAAAAAATTGGCAAAAACTGACTTTTTATTACGATAAATAGTAAAAAATGATCACAAAAAACAATAATAAGTGAATCTTTTTTATTAACTTTTTGTACTAAAAAATAATCCTTTATAATAAATAAGTATCAAAGTACTTTTTATTACTGGTAAAAGTGTCGTTAGGTATTATTTTCGAAAAAATCTAGTATTAAAAATTATTTTGATACTTCGCTGTGTCGTATACGGCAAAATACAGAATGTATACGATCACCGTAAACAGTCGTACACGGTCGCATACCACGTTGTTTTTCATCGTATTCCAATAAGCTTTTCCTTTCCCCTTCCCCCAACTCCAAATAACAAAAAATAATATTTGAAACACTCAGTTTGGTTCGAGGAGGAAAAAACGGATCCCGGATCTCAAGATTCTGTGGATCCTACTGAATCCTAATGAATGTTTCCAAGTATTTCTGAGACCGTATTAACTTTGAATTTTTCTTGCTTTGCTTGCACTGGTGTCGATTTAGAGCTGATGTAGTCAAGCAATTTTATTTTTCAATGGTTTCTGTTATTGTTTTTTCCCATTGTTATCTTCTTCAAAAGACAGATTTCCAGAATTATTAGCACCTTGCAGAAAATTTTTAAAAAGTTTATTGTTGTACACCACAAAACTAAAACATGTTAGGTAATAAGAATCATATATAATATATAAAATTCAAATTTTATTGTGACAATAAAAGCGAGAAAGATTGAATAACTCATCCGCACATCTCACATTATTCAATCAGAGTTCATGTTGAGAGAAATTAAAACAGACTAAGGTTTTAATTGAGACTAACCCAATCATTTTTAATGCGCTTCCTTTTTTTACTTCACTGTTCTTAATCGTGACAGAAATCACCATTATCTGTTATAATTATACTATTTCTCTTGAATACATCTATACACTTCTCTGATAAATACAACGTATATGATGTTTGGATGTGTCACAGCTCCAGCTCCACAGCTCGCGAGAGCTGAGTCGAAGAGCTGGTGGACAGCTCCAGCTCAGCCCCTGGAAGTTCGAGAGGATCACTATAGGTCCTCAAGGGCTATCCTATAGGGGTACTCATAAGTCTCCAACGTCTATTCTATGGCGGTATCCATAGGTTCTCAGAGACTATACTATGGAGGTACCCATAAGTCATCAAGGCCTATATTATGGGTGCCACCATGGTACAAGTCTTGAGAACCTATGGGTGCTAGATAGGATAGACATTGAGGACCTATGAATACCTCATAGGATAACTCTTGAGAACCTATGGGTACCCTATAGGGTCGTTCTCGAGGGCCTACGGAAGCAGCTCCAGCTCAGCAAACTGAGCTGTCACACACCTACTGGCTAATGTCTGTTGTTGTTATAAATTCTTAAGAATATAATTTATGTTAACGAATGTCAGTGGATCCTGATGGATTCTAACGGATCCTAATGGATCCCATTGGATTCTGGGATCCACGATCTCCTCCTTCACTTATACTCACTTATTGTTGACAAATTCAGTTACTGAGCTGATGAAATATGCAGATTTATTATTTTCATTCTATTTTTATATTAACTTCGACATACGCAAAGTTCGTCCTTTTAATACGAAGTTTGTATTTTTATTGTGCACCCTAGAAGCCCACTAACTTCATTCATTTTAATAAGATTAAAAAAAAAAACAATATAATCAAATAATGATTTTTTTCTTCAATTTTTTCTGTAAATATTAATTATTGATTTTGAACGTGTTGAGGATGTAAGGATGAGAATGAAGGTAAGAAATAAATCGAATCAAGAATAATTTAATGAAAAATAAAAAGCGATAACACACAAAAAACGAATAAATAAATAAGTGGATAACTAGATAAGTAAGTAACTATACAAAGAGATCAATGAATTAATGAAATTAATAAATATTTTTTTATTTTTTATTTTTTATTTTTTGAAAACTTTTTAAAATTTTTATATAAATTTAATGGAGCTGAAATGAGGGTGGGTGTGTGTGTGCGTGTAGATGTGGGTGTCAATGTGGAATATGGGATGTGGGTGCGGCTATAACGACATTAATACCCATATCCACGTATATCCACACCTTCATCCACACACACACTCACCCCACACCCACACCCTTCACGTTATGTTTGCAATTTCTTTTCGCTCAAAGACGATGAAATCAGAAAAATAGCCCGTAGAAATAATGCAAAGGAGTTCTTTTCGTTCTTTTTCGAACGACATCACTGTACTGTAATGCAACTGTACTCAGTTACACTGCGATAGGGAGAAGAATATTTCTATGAATGCGTCACTGTTTTTTTTCTTTTTTCAATCTCGTTAAAATGCATTAGTTGATGGATTCTTTTTTATCATCTATAGTCAATATAAATACACAAAAGATGTAGCTGTTCCATTGCTTCTTCGTAAATTTGATCAACAACAGTGAACAAAAGATTAAAACAACATAAATAGTGCGTCGAAAGTTTTTATGCTTGAACGATAACAATCTTTTCTGCCTAGGCTTCATCACAAAACAAAATACGCATTGTTCTAATTGGTAGAACAAGAAATGTTAGGTGTTAAAATCAGACTTTTTCTTTTGCATTGATATCTCTTTTGTGGTTTAAAGGCAAAAGTGCTACTAATAATTCGCTATTGGACATGCGCTCTGCCTTCAAATCGAGCAAAGAGTTCTGCTCGGTGACACAACATTGTTAAAAGGAAACGAGTACCGTCAATGACACTGGAAAGAAATTGATCTTTGTTGATACACCGGGATTTTTTTATACAGGCACGAAAAATAACAAGACTGAAAAACGAGACTGTCTCGAAAACATTCAATATGACGCATCCAAGTGTGCATGCTTACGGCACGTTTTACATAAGAAAAAGAAACAGTCAATTTCATGCAAAAGATTTTTGGCCCAGAAGCTGTTCCTTACTGCATTGTGGTCTCCACAGATGATGACAACTGTAAAAATAATCTCAAAAATCGTTTAACGCGTCCGCGGGTGAGGGTGTGGGTTAGAGTGCTGCACGGGTGCACTTTTTTTCACCCGACACCGGACCGGAACTTTTTTTCGTACCCGAGTCCGAACCGACCTGACAACTCCGTACCCGGATCCGACCGGCAGCTATTTATAAATATAACATACCCGGCTACCATTTTCACGTGCAATCAATTTCAAACTTTATTTCATATGAAAAAAATATACAATCTACTTAAATAAATAAACAACAAAAACACGTATCTGAAATTACGTAAAAAAACAAGTGAATCAAGTGATTCAGCACTCAATAGTTGTCTTTTTGCTTCCAAAATTCTTCCAGTTTCACTAAAGATCCGTTCACTTGTTGCTGATGATGCAGGAATAGAAAGTAATGCTAGTACTAAACGTGATAGTTGTGGATATATACAGGAATGTTTTCTCCACCATGACAAAACATCTTCACCACTTGAATAATTTACTTTACATTTCATATATTCGATCACTTCATCATATGGTTCTTCGTCATCTGTTGATAAATTTTCATTTGAAATAAACTCTTTCAATACATGATCAACACTAATATCATCACGTTTGGCACGTTTATTTCTTTTCTTTTTTTTTTATTATCATTATCATTTATCAAGATCACTTGATATAAGTCTTCATCATTACTAATACCACGTGTGTTGAGCATTTTTTTAACTGTTTTTATTATTTCATTTCGTTCATTTTGAGTTAATAGCTGAAACGAAACGAACGAATTAAGATTGCTTTCAATTTATCACACTTACTGGAAGTGATTTAGTTTTAGGATGAAGAAAGGTAGCGATGTAGTGAATGTCCGTTAACCATAACTTCGCATCAAGCTTTGTTAATAGTTTCTTTTTCAATTGAGCAATACATGGACGATCAGTAGCTTTTATTTCACAAGATTTTCTGAATTTATAAAACCATGGTAAAACAGAATGTAAAGCAGAAACATTATCAGCAGATAATTTCTCGCTACCAATTTTAAATACGGAAAGTAAATCAGTTATATCTTTAATTACATGTGAATCAATATTACTAACATATTATTCTTCTTTTCGACTTGCTAACACTTGTTCAACGTCATTGTAGTTCAACCAAACAGACGATAAAGTATCATATGTTGAATTCCACCTAGTACATATATCTTGTTTTAATGTTGATTCAAGATTTTGCTGAAGTTCAGCTCTTTAAAAATGTGTAACTAATTCGCAACTATCTGAAACTAATGCATCAATTACAGTACATTCTTCAAGACTTTATTTAACAGCTAAATTAAGGCAGTGGCACACACATCGTATATGTGCTTCACCATCCAAAGCAGAAATTAAATTAGAAGCATTGTCCGTAAGATAAATAATTTCATAGCCATCAGAATCAATTCCAAAAGAATTTAATATATTTCTTATAAGTTTTTTTGTATTTTCTAAGAATGATCAGCTAAAAGTCAGAATATAAAATTCATATGAAATTATAAACTTACCACCAGTTTTAGCTTCGCTGATTGAAACAGTTTTTAACATAAAATTTTTCATTTGTCCATCTTTATTGTAATGCAAATTTACTGTTAAATAGCTATCTGAAGTAAATTTATTTTTCCAAAAGTCAGCTATAATACCAGAAAGTTTAATTTTCTTCGAATCAGGTATTAATGATTCAATTAATTTTACACGATCTTCTGAAGAACAAGAAGTATACCAAATAGTCAGCTATATTAGTTTGACATATCTTCAGCTAGTTTTTGTACCCGACGCGAGATTGTCATTGGATCCGGAATAATATCAGCTGCTTCAATTGGATGAAAATTTTGACGTGCAAGATCTAACAAAGATTGACATAATATTTGAAAACCATGACCACGAACAGATTCGTATGGACGTAAATCATAAGCACAAAATTTCGCACATGCTTCAGTAAATACACTCTTCAGATCAGCTAGTATATTACTATTATTATCTTTGTTCATCATTACGATGATGTCTTGGTTTTTGCTTGAACTAGGAGAACCACCACCAAGACAACCTTCAACATGTGTTTTATGAATACTTGAACCAGTTTTACATGATTCATAAGCAAAAATTGACAAACATTTAGTACATTGTACAAATGGAATGATATTTCCTTTATCATCTTTTATTCGAACAAACGTGTTCCACTACTGTGGTGTTGCTGATGGTGGTTTAGAACATATGTTAAAAATACCATGTTCAATTTTTTTTTAACATTTTCTTTTTCTCTGTTTGAAGTATTCATATTGACAATATTTAAAATCAAAACTAGTTAAAAGATTAATTTTAAGTATCTTGAATCTTGAAAAATAACAAAACAAAAGCTTTTTTTCGTTTCTACGATTTACTCTTTGGTGAAAGTGATGATCCAATCGACTTTAATTCTTATCCCAATATCTCGACAATAGTAAGTGTCAGTTTGAAATAGTAAAAGTATTTGTAAAAGTTGCGATGCCACTAATTGCTGGTTCGGGTCCGGGTTTTGTCTCACACTTGGACCCGGGCCGAAATTCTTTTTTTACTCGGCACCCGAACCGACCCGAAAAATTTTACCCAAACCCATGGTCCGGTTCGGTTCGGTTTCGGGTACCCGACCAGGTTGCAGTACTCTACTGTGGGTGTGAGCTGTGGGTGAGGGTGTGGGTGTGAGTTGGTGTGGGTGTGGGTGAAGAGAAAACTAATAACTACACTCACACCCACACCTCACACCCACACCCACCCACATCCTCACTGTGGATATACTCATTTGAAAATTAAAAAGGTTCTTGATTGTGTGTGCATGTGTGATAACAAGTCGAGAGAAAGTGGAAAGAAATATCAATGGTACGAGAAGAATTTATTCAATAGAGAAAAAAAGAGAATAAAATTTAAAGTGTTACTCGAATTTTTTCAAATGTTTCTTTAAAGTCCAAAAGGTGAGGATGATCCGAAGATAATTTTGCTTGAGCAATTTCTATCGCTTTTTGAACATTTTCCGTCGCCATACTATGTTCTCTAGTAGCCAAATATAATTTTGCCAAACTATGATTGATAACAGCTAAGTCGGGATGATCATTTGGTAGATTCCTTTCGTGTATTTCTAATGCTTTTTGAAAAAATGCCAATGCTGTTGCATAATCTTTCATTTCTCGATAAGTCTCACCTATATTCGCATATATTGTTGCACATTCTAAAGGACTACATGGCACACTTTCTTGAATATTCAATGCTTTTTGATGATATGAAAGTGCCATTTCATAATCCTCTAATAATCGATGAACATCACCCATGAAACTGTATGTCATACAAAATTTTGAATTTTTTTCAGTTAATGCATGATTAAATATTGTGAGACACTTTTCAAAATAATCAAGTGCCTTGGAATACTCTTTCATACTGTGATAAATTCTTCCGAATTCAATATATGTGTAAGTGAACTGTAGATTACCTTCTTCAAATATTTTTTGCTGAATCTCAAAAGAATTTTGAAGAGTCTTAAGAGCTGATGCGAAATTACCCATTCTTTGATAACATGCTGCCAAGTTCCTATAACTAACGATCAAATGAGGGTGATCCGGAGACAGAAATTCCTCTCTGATTTTAAGTGCTTTTTCGAAAAACTCAAATGCTTTCGAATAGTCACCCATGCCTTTATACGCAAGACCGATGTTGTTGTAGGAGAAAGCGAAATCGGGATGATTTGGATGAAGAGATTTTTCTCTTATTTGAAGTCCTTTATCGTAATATTCAAGTGCTTTCGAATAGTCACCCATGTCTTGATACAACGTACCGATGTTGTTGTGGGAAATAGCCAGATCGGGATGATTCGAAGGTAAAGATTTTTCGTGGATCTTATGTGCTTTTTCGTAAAATTCAAGCGCTTTCGAATAGTTACCCATATTGTTATATGCGATAGCAACGTTGTTGTAGCCGCCAGCCAAGTCGGGATGATTAGAAGGTAAGATACTTTCCGTGATTTCTAGATCTTTTTCGTAAAACTCGAGCGCTTTCGCGTAGTTACCCGTGTAGTAATATACGGCGCCAATGTTGTTGTAAGTTTCTGCCAAATCAGAATGATTCGAAGGCAGACCTCTTTTTCTTGTTCTAAGTGCTTTTTCAAGGAATTCAAGTGCTTTCGAATACTCGCCCGTTTTGGTATATACTTCACCGATATCATCGTAGGTGTCAGCTAATGAAAGATGCTCTTCAGGAAGAATATTTTTCTTGATTTCAAGGGATTTTTCATAAAATGAAATCGCATCTTTGTATTTTCCTGCCATTTTATTTACACATCCAAGCTGATGATAGATTTCTGCTCTATCACTATCACTCGATGAATTTTCGAATAATTTATTGTAAAGATCTTCAGCTTGGTTGAAGTGACCTGCTCGAATCATTAAGTCACCCAATCGCTGCCATCCTGTCGATCCACGAAGCTCTCCTTCTATCCGATCAGTGAGCGCAGCCAGTTGTGGATCATTATGGTCTGTTAGAGTCAATTGAACTTCCCATAGACGATTATTGTTGATCGTCTGCTTGATGTCTTCAACACGAAAAATGCTATGCATTGAAAATAAAGTTTCCTTTTCCTTTGTAATAGCACTGTATGCATCGATAAGTGCAAACGGAGCGTTTGAGATTGACACTCTACTTGGATCGATTGTGATAATGAAGAGAACACCTACAGTATCAATTTTTTGCAGTGCACGTTCAATGAATTCCATGGCAACGTGTTTTTCTGTACTAGTAGATAGAAAGTTATTAAACGAGAGAAGTCCACCTTTCGTATCAAGTAAATGCTTGAAGTCTTGTTGGGTGTGTCCTTGACCACGGTAAACAATTACTTGTTTCTTATATGCATCCGATTGTTCTCTGTGCAACTGTTGCAGCTGTCGATGGAGGTTGCGGATGAAAAAGCCCATCTTTATCATGGTCCCCATATCAAGTGTCCATAGAGCACGATTAAGCATATTGTACAGGAATATGTCACAGGTATACCACCAGACTGGTGTTTTATGGTAGTATTTTTCTTGAAAGAGCTCCAACTGGGATTCAGGAATGCCTTGACTCCGACAATAAACCACTAAATCTTGCAACGGGTTAGCATCATCTTCATCAATTTCCAATAGAATCTTTTTAAATAGTAGCGAATACATAAAAGAGGGTTCTAATTGGTCGAGATTTTGTTCATCGGATACTGCTTGTGCTACTATTGTTTCTATCATTAACTTTGGAACAAAGCTCATCGGTATTGCATGGCGGTCGCATTGACATACAGTCGTTTTTAATAAGTCACATATGGACTGAATTGAAGTAAAAATACCTTGAATTTTCGACCAATCTTTTGTCCATTTTTCGTATAGCACTTGGTTGCTAGAAAAGATGTAAATAGAATCTACTTGTGTCATCTTATGAATCTCTGGTACGAGATGCTGACCCAAGTCTCCAGAAGAAATAATAAAAACTTTTTCGCTATCTGCATCATTGAGAACATCAATGCATTGTGCTGAGTTCGTACAGAGACTAACATTGCTGACGACACTTCGTAATTGTGCAAGCATATTTTGGCAATTCTCATTTGCTTCATCAATATTCTCATCGACCCAGATAAGCAAATGATTTTGGACCATGCGGAGTCTTGGTTCGATGTCACTCGATAATTCTGTTGAAGCTGAAACATCACCTATTTTGAATAGGGACATAATTCGTCTGCATAGTTTTCCACCCATATTGAGTACGAATTATCGCTTTCCCGTTAATCTAAAATGGAGGATAATTATTTGTCGGCAAGAAAGAAAGTATTTTTTCTATTCATATTATCGATATATTCTTTTTTTTCTAGATTTTTCTGTCACGTCAAATGTCGATGTTTTTTCTGCTAGTATTCAGTGATAAAAATCTACGTAATTGAAATTGAAACTATGATTACGAAAACTTTGTTCATTGTGCTATTATTCCTTTTCAGCTTTCCTTTACTTTTCATTTACACGATGACTTAAGTATCATTGCGTTGCATACCAGATATGGATGTCCGAAGGAACATATATTCAGTCAAGAATCAAAAGCGTTATGAATGCATTTACATAGGTGCTTGTAATAATTTTATTTTTGCTAGAGTATCGATACATTTTTGCATCTTTTGTTTTTTGGTTTTCATCTGACTCGAATGAAGTACAAAAACAGAAAGTGAATAGTTTAATAGACTATATAATTTAACAAATTACAAATTAACTGTAAATTATATAGTATTTTAAAACGAAAAAATAATATAATAGATGAGTAGAATTGATGAAATGAAAATTAGCAGTTTTTGAATGACGTTTCGGAGTAGAATCAGTCTTCTTCAAATCTTGTTGTTACATACACACACTTCTGATATTCAACGTTGTATATGTATCCATACTTGTATTTTATTTATACATCTATTTTTTTTCTTTCTTCCAATAATGATACAGATAGAAAAAGACGATGAAACCGAAAGGATACGATATCTAGATTTTCTCATCCAAACAACTATCGAAAGAAAGAAAAAAATATATATGCAATTCTACACGTTAACAATGAGTATAACAACAACATGATAACCCTTCTAAGTGTTCGACAACCATTGTGGGTGTAAGAGCTACTTCAATCAAGTTTATCGATTATATATACTGAACATCCTCAATCGGAGCTTTCCTAAAATTACCTTCTGGTGTTCTTTGTAGTTACTCTTAATATTCAATTCGAATTTTATCGCTAGTTTAATAATGTAAAAAAGTTGCATACACTCACGCAATAAGTGATACTAGTATGCGAGCTGTGTTTTATACGTTTATAAACGATTTCACTTCGTATTTATCGTTGATTCGATTGTCTGGTATTTATTTTCACTCACATTTTCTTTATTTTAGTCAATGAAGCATGACATTTTAGTTAAGCAATGCAGTCATTTTTCATAATTATCCTCAGCACATGTTTTTTGTTTTTTTTCACGTTTCTCCTAATTTTTTGTCTTCCTTTGCATTTCGTTTTGTTATGATGCAAAAATATATACTAATATTTGTATTATACCAGTGTATTGTAATCAAATATCGGAATTTCTCCCTTATGAATAAACAAAAGAATAGTTGTCTAATCTGATGATTATAGAAAAACAAAATATTAGCATTGTGTTGTTTCACGTTAGATTCCTTCACCACCATCACTTGTCCAATCAATTATATAAGAACTTTTTCATGCAGAAGAATCGATCGATTGATTTCATTATGTAATTTATTACTAAATCATCATTACTACTGATCATTTTCAGACAAACATGAGAACCATGTGAGAAAACATTATAATTATTGCTCTAATTATATATGAAAGGAATGAAGCACTTTGTTAAAATGCTACCAGTTAGTCTTGAATCATCTTAACTGTAGCTGATGACTAGGAAAAGTCAAAAACATTATGTCATTTGATGAATCGTATACTTTTTCATCTGCATCGATACAGACGCTCACACCCTTGAAGAAGTTAGATTGCTTCACTGAACAAATCGAGGAACAGTTGGTCGATGAATATGGAAAAGATAATTCCGATGTAGAAGATACGTCCAATTATAAATATTGATTGGTATTTGTTTTTCTTTCCATTTTTTGTCAATACAAATTGAGAGGTAAGATATATCGCTTACAATAGTGAATATCTGTGATGTGTCATATATGTACATATTCCAAGTTGACAATGTAATCATGTATGAAAACAATATTATACGGACATTGGTAATCATATTGCGATAGAAAAAAGACTTGTTCTATAGCGAAATAGTAATTACTAATCGGTTTGCCGTAATCGAGAAATACTATGCAGCAAGCAAAATTGATAAAACTTCAATAAAATAATGTTAGTATTCCCTGGTCGAACATCTTGTAAGCAAGATCTTGAGAAGATCTGAAAAAGATAATTTGTATGTGCATATCTTCGGTGTATCAGATAAATCTGTGCTTAAGATCTTGTTTAGATCATGGAAATTATATCATTCACTATTATCTTTTCACAAGATCTTGAAAAAAATAAAAAGCGATATCATTATTGTATTGGTTACATACTGACTAATCATTCACCGTTTTTTTATGCATACAGAGCCGTATATAAACAACATGATTAAACATACGAAACATACACTTTTCGAAATAATTTTTTTTTTCTAAACTCTTTCTCGACTATTAATCATTCGAGAAATTGCTGATCTCGATCACTGATCGAGAGAGGACTACCTGAAGCTGTCTGACGGAGATCGAACCATCTCAAGAACAGGCAAGTT